CCCGACCATAAAAACAATTCAGAAGCACCAGTCATTTTCTTCAGATCTTCGACAACCAAGGTCTCTGCGGTTTATGGCATCCTTTGAGAAATGAATGAGCGCGTATTCTGATCCAACTTTGTTACTGAAAGCAACAGGAAATCCATTTGAGGGCGTCCTGACTAATGGATATAATGTAAAACTGAACAGTCACCATTAAACACACTGAATAATCACGCATTAAATATTAACATAGCAATTACCCACTTTCAATTGAATTTATTTTTGCTGCTGCAGTGGCTGCAAACTCAACATTTTGCTACAAGATGTGTGACATAATTTGTCCTACGCACGCGCACACACACACACACACACACACACACACACACACACACACACACACACACACACACACACACACACACACACACACACACACACACACACTGCAGAGTGCCTACAGTTACCTGCCATATGTCTCATCAGAGGACACATAGGCAGCCAATGCTCCTGAGTCAGAGCCTCCAGAAATATACTCAACATCTGCCACCCCCTCCTCACAGCCTGTGACATCAAACACGCAACCTTCACATGCATCACACATGACCAGCTCCACCTCAGTCTCACACACAAACCCCCTCTATCGCCTCCAACCCTCCCCCAAGCTTGTAACCTACAGGACCAAAAAAAAAAAATCATCCATGCGACTGTGTTACATAACAGACCTGTCTTACCAAAAAGAAAATCAGCTGCTGCCCCCTCCCCCTCCTTCCAATAAGTCCTCCTAATGTAGTCGTGATACATCTCCTGCACCCACCCCCCACGCTCTGCTCCCCCTCCCCTCCGTCTCTTTCCACAGGCCTTGTAGTGTGTCTCACTCAGGTCCGGCTTCCACCTCCACGCCTTCAACACACGGGAGCCATCTCTCTCTAACCGGCCCTGAATATGCAGATTGGTTAATTCAGCTGCAGTTGCTCTCTCCGTAAATGCATCTGCAGCACTTTCCGAAGACTGAGCAGCGAATAAATGCTTACGCTGGGGCTTTTTTTGGTGCTGGTTAGGGGGGGAGCGCCTCTGTCCACGGCAGACTGCAGCCAAGGATGGGATTTTAGATGTGGGATGGGGCGAGCAGAACAAATAAGAGATTAAGACTTTGACCAAGGCAAAGCTCAGCACCCAGTTGGGGACCGATTCTGATCTGTTATAGAGTAATTTGTTTAATTGTGCTTTTCATCTTGGCTTAGTTGCATCTGCTCCTGCTGTTATACTCTAAGCTTCTCTGCAACTCACCTGGTTATAGCCTCTGCAGCAAACATTCCTTTAACATTTTTCAAAACAGCTGAGTGGGCAGGAAAAATACTGCATTAAAAACAAATCTTTCCCCAAATCAAGGCTCGTGAAACAGAAACAGCAACCTCAGTTTAGCATCCCCCCTGCATCATGAGCGCTGTGTGTAAAATATGTTTTTCCCATTTTTATGATGGAGTGAAAAGCACATGACAAACAAGCTGCATACTGAGGATCATCTCAACATTGATCCATATAAAGCACACATTGCAAGGACGGCGCATCCCCTGGGAAAGGTGACAGTGACAAGTAATATTTATTATCATTAATGCCCAAGGTTGTGTCTTTAAGTACAACATAGAAAAGTCACAGAGTGGTTGGTTGTATGAGATTAGTGGTGTGAATAATAATAGGATTTGTTTGTTAGAACAGATGGACTAATGCATCTCCCTACAGCTTTAAGCAATGCTGTAAACACTCCTGCTTCGCAATGGGATGCGGTGTTGTTGATGAACAGAGAAAAATAACTCCCACTAAACACAAAGGCACCGGGTGCATTAAAGACTCTAGTTTCCCCCCCTTTCCATCTCTTGTTTTGCTTTCTGCAGCCTTAGCACTAAAATCTGATTCAAGCTTTCTGTGAACAAGTGCAATGCTTGCCAACACAAATGACAGCGAGAGTGGGACAGGTGCCAAAGTCCTCCCCTGACTATCAAGAGAGAAAAGCAATCAAAAGAAGCAATCGATATAAACAAAGTCCTAACTACTATTGATTTTATAGCTCCACACTGATGGGCAATGATAGCTATGGACCTACATTCATACACTCAGTTGATTAATATCTTCAGTTTTCTGTTAAATCAGGCGACATGTTCTGTTGGAAATGACCGCAGATCCCAGAGGCTCAGAGGCAGTGTTGTGTCTGTTGTGACATTTTAGTGGGATGCAATGGAAACTGCTCCTCAGCTCAGCATCCTGCAGTCTCATCACTCACTGTAAGGCGGACCGTTACTTCCATCAGCTGCATTTGAGTTTGGGCAAGTCAGCAAGTTTTCCTCTAGTGCACACACAGCCTGTACAAAAGAAATATACCGTGGAAAGCCAGGAGCCCTGAGCTGGGCTCTCAGTCTCTGGTGAGATAGTGGCCTCTGAGTGGCATGCCATGAAGACAAATGACATCGATGTGGTGAGCCGCTCTCTGTGACTTACCGGGGAGGAGAGGATGTGAGTGACACTACACTGCATTTTTTCCTCTCAGGTGAAGGTTTATGATGCTGTGTATGGCACAAAACCAAGGCCGCCATTAATCAGTCAATTACAACCTAAAAGCATCCACTGTTGGGTTTACTAGATGGGAAGCAAATGGTGACTTTGTAATAACTGAATAGGTCTTTTGTTCAATCAATCATTTTATGCAAATGGGCTTTGCCGGAGCATTTTCTGAGTTTTTAGCCTTGCTAGTTGAGTGGCTTTAGGGATTGCAATGTCAGTCTGTTGGTTCACTCATTTGCATGAAACGGAAATGTTTAAACAAATATAGGAGGTCTTGCCATTACATTTTTAGCAGACTTAATATTCTTCAGAGGATGAATCCAACAGTAATGACTTTTGTGATCCCCTCCTGGTTGACATTTTTGCATTTGGAAAAATTAGATTAGTATATTTACTGCTTTTAAATCCGACACATTTAACTATATTGCCCAGAGGATATATCCTACTGAATTTGGTTATTCCTAGTAAAATAAATAACATCTAATAAAGTGATTGGCACAGATGATGTGGTCCCCTCACTATCTGCAAGGTTGACATTTACGACTTTGATGGAAGTGTCTCAACTAAATAAAATAAATTCAGACCATAACACATGAATTGTAATAACTTAAACAATAACTTCTCAGATTTTCCATCTAGTGCCTCAATTTGGTACAAAACATTAATTAGATTCCCATCAGCCTTAGCTGTATTTAGTGCTGAGTAGCAAATATAAGCAACATGCTAAACTAAGATGTTAAACATGGTTAACATGACAAAATATTGACATCAGCGTGTTAGCATGCAGCCTCACAGAGCCCCACGAGCGTCTGAAGACTCCTCGCCTCGTTAATAAATCAGAGAGTGGCTTCCAGCTCTGTGGCTGTGACACACAGCAACGCTAAGCTGAGAGTCGTTACTTACACACGAGTTAAAGATAAATCCTTGAGGTACGCTAAATGGTATTTCAAAGAACTTAACCATAGAAACTATGAAAACATATGTATGTCTTCGAGGCAATGACAAATGTTCTCTTATGTTAACCTTGCTGACCAATGCATCAATGACTCAACCATCTCAGTGATTTTTGTGATAATCTTTAATGAGATGGAACGTTTGAGCTGAAATCACAGTAAGGTTATAGTTGAGCTGTCAACACGATTATTCCCCCGAGTCTTAAACCCTCCAGCAGTCTATTGCTCTGTCTGGAAATAACAAAGTATGTGTGTTTTACAAACATGTCTTCTTTGATCAATGCACATCATCTCTGAATTTAAAACACTGCTTTGTAAATTAGTATGCCTTTTGAATCTTAAATCACTCATCAAAGGATACTTCATGATCATTTAGTGTGAATATTAAGACTATAAATAGGTTTGCCTCAGCATTTGGGAACATTTGTAGCCATCAAGACACCTGTTTTCTGAATTTGAGTATGGGTGAAATATGCGTTTCCTTTTTCAGTTAAATGTGGAAACACACATTTTTGTCCCACAGTAGAGGAATAGTTTGACATTTAAGGAAATATAAAAACGAGATGATTGACACCACTCTCATGTGTGGTCAATATGAAGCAACAGCCAGCAGTTAGCTGGTTCAGCTTAGAAAAGAGGCGGAGAACAGTGGGGAAAAGCTAGCATGGTTCTTTCTTTATTCAATACTATACAAGACTAGAACTGCCCTTTAGCACCTCTACAGCTCCCCAAAAAACGCGTAATAGTTAATTGTTTTATTAAAAAGTGTAAAACCCCCAAAAATACAATATGTCATTGGCTGTGAATTCATATTTAGTGGAGCGCATCCACAAATGTCGAACATTTCTTTAATTATGTAAAACATTGACATGACACAGGAACAACTAGCAATGCACATGCATACAAGTTCAGTAAATGAAGGTCCTGTGGAGTGATGCAATGTTACCATTTCAGGGTACGTTCCTTTAAGTTTGACACATTTCAATAAATAAAGCAAACTCCATAGTAGGGCAGATAATGCAAGGAACCATAGGACTTACTAAACGGTCAGCAATGTGTGCAACTTGCAGGAGACGATTCTTGATTCCTATATCAATTCTATAATTCCAAATCTGCTGCATATCTTCTTTTTGTGGTCCTCAATGATACTTTTTTGTCATATACTGTTTATCTCACTGTGTGTATGCCTTTACTCTAAACAAAAAAACAAATAGTTGCTTTTTGCAACCTATTGAGATGTAAGCTTTGGTGCATGGTTTGATATATTTAAACAATAATCCTGTGGTTTCTTTCAGTCACTTTTTATAATCAAATACAGAGACAAATTATTTATCCTGCAGGATATTCTCGCGTGACATGTTTGTATGTGTCAGTACTATAACCAAATCTATTTCATCTCAGGACTGTGACTTGTGTGTTCTGTACATTTTGATCATACATTATAGTGTCTGTGGTTAGGTGATACAGATCTTAAATGCATTGCGTTTTACTTTACGTCAGTTTACTTACGTTGGAGTCCAGGAGGTCGAGTGAGTCCAGGCTCTTGCTCCTGTGAATGCGGCCCTTGATGCGGCGGAGGGATGGTTTGCCCTGAATGGTGCTCACTGAGGAGGCTCCTGTGATGGAGCCAGCGGTCGGGCTGGGGTGCTGGGGGTGTATCCTGAGGTCAGTGAGGAGGGGGTGGGAGGAAGAGGATGATCAAAAAAACAAAAAAACACTACATCAGGGCAAGTAAGTCACATCCAGAATTGTTGAATGTATCACAACAGGACACAATGCCATCGGCAAGACCGAAGAAGAGGAGGAAGAACATAGTGGTTATGTTTCTGCCTCTTAAAAGGCCACAGTCGCCCGCTGGATAAAATGGTATTTAAAGAAATCTATAATTGGATTTAATGTCACAGAGAGCCCTGTAGGGGAGCGGGTTGGGGCTCAGGAAGCACTGCAGCTTCAGACTCTGAGGGCCAGAGCTGCTCTGAGGCCCCGGCAGCCAGACTGAAGCTGGGTCATGCTGAGATGTGGGGAGGAGGCCCACTTGGCCGACCTATTACCAATACTCTCAGGAAATGTTTCACCCTTCACAAATGACATACTTAAGCAGCACTGTAGGAAGCCTGTTGACCACATCAGAACTCTCCACCCCTCATTTCCTTTCTGTTTTCCATGGTTGTTTCTTAATTTCTGTGTAATGTGCTGTTTGCCACAAAGTGAATTCTCCCCATAGGCATGAAAAAAGTGGGAATGATATGAATAAATTAGTTTATCAATCCAACTACTGCAGGGTTAATTTACAAGACTTATCTATCTGATGAGAATGAAACATATACAATATGGTGGTATGACTTTGATAACACACCATTTATGAATTGCGTAACTAACTGCCTTAACTGATTAAGGATCATTAATATCATTGATAACTAAAATATTAAGCAGAGTTGGATGGAAAAAACTGGTTCTATTAAAAAAGACACATTGGGCTTAAGGAAAATTGAGCATTTCTCACCAACATTACATTTAATGCAATTGTGTTAACCAATTGACGGTATCTTTTTTCTTCATGTAATACAGCAAAAGCTGTTTCCCATAAACACACACTGCTCATTCAACAGTGTAGTTCAAATTAACTAATTAATTCTCTTCTTTTCAGTCTTTTCTATTATGGAGAACAGTCGGTCTGAATGAGGATTTACCTAACACAATATTCAATGAGGGAAAATCCTGTCTACACAGTTCGACTCGGGGACAGTGGATATCCATTAACGTACGCCACAGCGGGTCCAGAGGAGCTCCTGAGGTTTGGAGACTCAGTGAGGGTAAATTACAAGAGAAAGGAATGAACAAAGATGGGAGGAAAGAGCACACCACCTTCCCCTTTCTCTTTGCATTAAGTCAATAGTTGCCTGAAGCGATGCAAGGTGCTTACTGGCTGGAAATGCAAGGTAAAAAGTATTCTGCAATACATGCAGTCAATTACAAGCGACCTGACTTTGTTCTCATAAACGATACAGCAAACATGACTAATGAGAAAGCAGCTTGGACTGTTTCACTGGCCCGGTGCAGTCCTGCGCATTCAGAGGCTCATTTCTTGGATGTTGATTCGGAAATGGATTTCAGCCAAAACACTTCAGGCCACAAAGGCAGAACGTAACGTAGTGCCAGCAACTGTGCCGACTCAGATATAATGTGCAGTGAATGATTTCACGTCGCTTTTGTGATGAATTCTTCTTCTCTATTAAATATTCAGGTATAATGTGTTTCTCTTGAGGTTCAGGAGAATACATAAAACTGTGGGACTGAATGTTAACATCATCTTTTCATTTTATCACAATAATGGATGAGCGCCATTTGGCAGGTGACCCAAAACCATATTGTCAGAGCTATGGAACATCAAAAGAAAATGTCATGTTAACTTTTTATGACACATTTTCCAGAAACAGGATATAATCTTAGAAGATAGTTCCCTTTGTAAAGTTTGAGTCCACTTTGTGTCTGACGGCTTTATAAAAAACTATAGCCAGGAGACAGTAGACTCATGTTAGTCATTAATGGTACAGAAAATAAATGGTTAAGTTTGAGCATAAAGACTGGAAACAGATGGCTCTGAAGGGTAACACAATCCTCCTAACAGCACCTCAAAAGCTCACTAATTAAAGCTAAACCTTGTTTGTTTAATTTGTACAGAGTATAAATTAGTTTTAGTTTCACAGGGGGTTATGTGCTGGACTATTTCTCGCCCCGGTGCAGTGACTTCAGAGAGTCTTGTCATCACTGTTGCCTCTGCTCCCAGCCAAGAAATATTCCCAGCAGTTACTCTCCATAAAATCACAACTTGACGCTTTTAAACTTTGATTAATGTACGGATTTAACAAACACAATATAATGTGTAAATTAGTGAGCGTTGGAGGAGCTGGTAAGCAGTTTTTGTTAAATCTCGGCACACCCAGGCTCTCTGCTGTTTCCAGTATTTATTAAGCAGAGAGACATGAGGCAATAACTAAGAATAATACTGAGCTACTTGAAAAAGCAGGGTGTACTGCTTGGTTGATTTCACAGTGTCAAGACTTAAGGATACAGTTTATGGTTTAGTAATGTGCTAAATAGGAACGTTGATCCTTTATTTGGTGTTTTGTTTCAGCAAAGAGCAGGCGCTTGATGTTTGAGTTTACAACACAATAAGAAATGTGTTTGACCCTGGTTTGATGATGGCATTATGTCTTGGACCTCATTGAACGAAGAAATATCTGCTTCAAAAGAAAATAAAGAAGTGTGGTAATGTAGTTCACAGATAAAGTAAGGTCAAGCATTTGATGATGCTATTACAAAGAAAGGATGAGGGACACACACACATTACTCAGTTGCAGGACTTTATGCCGTCCCTCTGTTTCCCGTTCGCCCGGAGGAGCATTCAGGTACGATTAGTTGAGGCAATAACTGCTACTGCTTAATCAGCAGGTCAATAGGCAATGTTACGCTTCATTCCCCCCATCTTTCCTGCTGCTAATATAACACTTAACAAGAAGAGCAATCCTGATCAGAGACTGGTACACACACAGACACAATAAAACACATAAAGACACACACTCACAATCAAATTCAACATTGTTCCTCGCCCTAAATTAGTTACTTCTATTCTGTAACCAGCTGGGCTGTTTTTGTTTTGTTTTTTTGTCGTAAAGATGCAGGTTAAAGATAAGAGGAAGCATTACATAAACACAATAGACTTGTTGTAATATCCCTGCAGGCTTGCAACAGAGTGTAAAGTTCATTAAGCCAGGTTAATGCTAATCTTTGGCTGTGTTCAGTGGGGAATGTGTTTTTAAGACTCCAGGCAAGATGAACATCTGTTTGCAAAGACTAATCCTAATTTAGAAAGCTGCTGCTGCTATTCAGTTTGTATCAAAGGCAAACGGAGCTGTGCCTCCTCGTATTTTGGGAGAATGTTGATGCACATGGCGCACAAGGTTTCTGCGGGGAGGATGGTGTAAGTGTTCGGGCAGAGCCGTGTGTAATCTCATCGCCACATGCTGAGAGATCAGCAAAACCGGAAGCAGTTCTGATCATTTGATCAGAACTGGGACAGAGTTAACTCTGCAATTACGTAAAGAGCAACCTTAAAAACAGGATGCTAAAATCTGAATTCAAATGCCATAAAGCATTTTCCGCTGTTTAAATCTGTGTCTTTCAGTGATGTCAAATCCTGTTTTATGCTAACCGTGTTTTTGAATGACCTAAATGTAATCTGCAAATACATAGTGCCTATCCAAATCCTTGGGGGAATGTAGAGCGGACAAATACAACATCATTATTGTATTTATGGAGCTAACATAGCAAACTTGTATTTTTTTCATATCTCAGATGCAGCACTGTGTCTTGAGTATTTATTTTTTGTATTTGTGTATGGCCACATATTGTTAACGTGGATTGAGTGGTATTGATCTTAAAGGTCACTTTAATTAAGTTATCAATATCATTTGTGGAAAAAGGTTAAACCAATAGAGCGTCCTGCTCCTAAGTCCGGGCAGAGGCAAAATGAGGCATACTAGTTTCTCACAACAACACATAACAATGCCAGGTTTTATGTAAGAATATGAATAACAACTCAAATATGAAGATCTACAGTATAAAAAATATAGTTAGAAATGTGGTGCTACATGTCTGATAACTATAAAAACACTTGACGCATGCACATTGGCTTTGATACTAAATGAATGCAGCATTCGTTGAGTGTTTAATGATTCATGAGGTGTTGAAACATGCGGCTGTATTTCACCTGAAACCAACATATTTAAATGACTTGTTATAACGTTGACAATGTCACTAAGCTGCATTTAAGCAAGGTGCACACTCATTGTTTTACAAATCTCTATCTATACAGAAATGGCCAAAAACTATTAAATAAGGAAACTGCTGACTATATAAGATGCCAACACTTTCATTAGATGGACACTTCTTGTGTGTAATGTCATATTTTGTTGTTAAATATATAGTTAAGAAAGACATCTGAGCAGCCTTCCTCTTCTACCACCATTTATAAAAGGTTTGCGCTGATTATTGGGTTTAAATTACCTTACCAATTTTCGCCAGTTGTGTGTCATTTTCTTTAAATTATGTTCTGTTTAATTTAACATTAAAATATAAAAATCACAGCAACGTGATTTACAAAATGGTTGTATTTAGCGGAACACACATCGAATAAATGAAGTGAAACATGTAAAGATCCCTGTTATGGTCCTTTAAATTACATATAACACTAAAATGTTTATGAAATAGAACACATTATGGGTAAGTCAGTTGGTGGATATTCTGCTTTAAAATATAACTAGTGAAAAAAAAATCCATTTAAGTTCAGAGCTTGCTCTAAGAATTACATAATTAGGTTAGCCTATTGTATCAGCGCACTGCTAAGAGGAGCTCCTGCGAAAACCCACTTGCATATGGAGATGAGAGTATCAGATCAACAATGACAGAAGAAACGTGAAAGGAGTCCTCCGTCTCAGTGAAATTCCCTTTCTTCTCCTCAGGGAGCAATTAGGCTATAAAATGACTAAGCAATATAATTAGCAAAACAGACCAAGAGATTAAAAAAGCTGCATATGACCCCTGGTGAGATTACAGCAACGCTTTGACTTTGGTGACATCACCACTTGGAGTTTATACCAGATGGTGGTCATGTTCTTGTGAATGCTAGAATCAAAATACAGTTAAGATACAGTAAAACCCTTTATCAAGCCATTAAGACACCTCATTGTAGACACATTATTTGCATTATTTAATCTTGGAGGTATTCACATGTTATATATAATTCAGGTTGTGGCTGTGCGGGTGTCGGTAAATCTCCTTTGTTCATGATAATCTCACTAAAGACAATATGACCCTCAAGAGATTTTCAGCATCAGTGTTATGTCCTTGCTTCAGACACGGAAATGGTTTAGTTAGGATTTAAAGAGGTGATGATAATAGTTAAGCCTCTGATACACTGGAGCCACGCCAGTGTAACTGTATTATGTGGTAAAATGATCCACACCGTGCGATACATTTTGAGTTTGTGTGAAACACTTGCTATCAGAGTGCCATTGAGCCTATTGACTCCTAATTAACCATCTTTGCTTTCAAACAAGATGGTAATCCGGCTGTAATTAGGGATACTATGTCACACACGATGCAGCCTCAGCAGCAATCTGCTTACAGCGAGGAGAAGGAATGAAAGGAGGCCTGTCTTAAAGTAAACAAATGTACGAGGCCGCAGGAGGAGAAAGAGGGACAATGAGAGGTGGTCAATGCGATATACTGAGGCACACAGAGTAATGAGGACACTGAAGAGGTGGAAACACAAGACACAAACACACATGCTGAGAGCAGAATATGGGTGGAAAATGTTTTAATAGACATGGCAATGAGAGGTGTACAGAGGCCTGGCTGCAGCACAGGAAATAAAAACAGGAGAGGATCATGTTTCATGCTTTACATTTTATTCATTAGTTACAACACAGCAGTGGGGGTAAGGAAGAGAGAAGGAAGGGTGATGGTTTACCATGGTTAGCTTATTGAGGATGACATTTCCAGTGACAGCAGCCATATAATAATACATCCAAAGCACATGAAGTTGGAGGCAAAGAAATAATGAAAAGGCTATGACATCACCCATACGCAATCGACTTTACAAACTGATGGAGAGGAAGGACACATCTACAGCCACTGGACTAAGTGTCACACGCACACATGCATGCACACAAACACCCAGCAGTTGCCTCACACTGTGTATCGACCTCAGTGGGGTTTGTGATCAACATGGTGCAGACCGGCCGCAGTGGCTGAACACGATATTATGTCATGTTGGAGAGTGGGGTGCAAACCGTGGATCCGTGACCCGCTCATTTTTTAGAAGAGATGTGTGAGGCGACAGCTCGGCTTATCACAGCACCCCTTTTTTATTTTTGTATCCCAACCTGCATTATCATCATCGCTATCATCATCATCATCATCATCATCATCCGCACCAAGATTCATACTCACCACATATGCTTCCTGGGTGGAAGACAATGTTCTTTGTTGGAGGCGGTCACCCCCAGAGCCAGCTGCATAACAGTAATGTATTTCTGGTAATTCACCATGGTACTGTCCACCGCTACAAAAAATCCAACCCAAAGAAAAGCACAGGTGATCATATATTTCTTTATTCCCTGGCATCCGCCTCCGCTGCGTCTTCCATGCTCAGCATCACAACGCCATTTCCAGCGCTGAAGGACTGACAGTGAAAACACTCCCCAAGGAGCAGAGGAAGAGGTGCCGTACCGCTGCGACCCATGTCTGCAATGACACCGTGTTTTAGCGCTGATCCATCCGATGGGGGGTTTCTTCGCGTGTCTCTCTGTCTCTTGTGTGAAAATACGGTCAGGATTTGGACATTATTCTCCTTCCCTTCCTGCCTCCTCCTCCCTCCTATCCAGGGCTGGAAACACTCTCTTAAAAACGCTGCAGCGTCCAGGCGTCCGTGTGTGTGAGGTAGGAGAGAGAATTTGTGTACAGTGTAGTCAGAGGGGAGGAGGGAGAGCAGAGGAGGAGGACGAGGAGGAGGAGGAGGAGGTGGAGGAGGAGGAGGGGAGGGACCGATTCATTTTGAAAGGGACTCAGTTGTGGCACATCTGTTTAGGAAGTCTATGGTTTGTCTTGAATTACTTGTCAACGAGGGCTTATTTAGAAAGTTAATTGTTTTTGGGTCACACAATACTTCCTGGAACAAGGGATGACTAACAGTGGCGGAACTAGAAAGTCGGAGCCCCCTTCCCATTACCCCTGTTTTTAATTTCCTGTTTTCTGTCGTTTTTTTTTAAATACATTGAAGCATGTCACAGTGGTTACAAAAAAAGCAATGATGCATTAATTCAGTTTTTCTGCAGTGTTTTTAGTGCAGATTTTGAATTTATTCTAAAAAAACGTAGGAGAGAAACTTCATCCTCAGTCATGCGTATAAATTAACAATTTGATCCATCAAGCTTATTTCTAATTTTGCCCTCAGGTTATAACAAAGAGATAGCTTCATGGAGAGCGACGACATTGTCATTAGTAACACCTGTGCTTTCCGGGTAAAGACTGATGTGAATAATAAATATAAGCAGTTGCTCCAACATCTAAAGAGGACATATTCTGCTAATTTTCAGGTTTCATCTTTTCGCCCTCTGTCTGAAACCAGAGCCCAGTCTGCACTGATGGTTAGCTGGCCGGCATGGTTGTGATTGGTCAACCAGTTAGAGATAGCAAAGGGGCGGGCCTTTGCCTATCACGTACAATGTGTTGGAGTGCTAGCCAATAAAAGCGTGAGTGTTTCATAGTGATGTCACCATGTCAGGGAAGAATACAAAGGAGTCCAATGGAGGCGTTTCAGGCAGGTGGAGTGTGTTAGAGAAACTCCCTCTGGAGGGAAACATAATACAGAAAAGGGAAACCCCGGAAAGCATAATAGGGACTCTTTAAACGTATTTAAAATTAATGCCTTGTAAGAAAAAAAAATTCAAAACATTTTAGGAGCTTTCACTTACACTTTGTGACCTTTATCAGTTAATTGGGTAAACTTGGAATATCAATCGTGAACATCTCATATCTTTGGTTATACATCTGCTGATGACGGCCATAAAATGTAACAAACAGCTCAACGGGAATTTTTCATGAGCTTTCAGTTCAATCTCATCAACTCCTTCATCAGCACATTTCCAGTGAGAGAACATCGCACTAACATTTTCTTTGTCAAATCTCAAGGTCAATATTGAACCTTCACCTCATTTGAAGCCCTATTTACTCCATTTGAACAATGTCAATGCAAAGTGAACTCTGAGTGTAATGATGAGGTTGTTTTTTTATAATAGGCCTCTGTGATTAATCTAAATCCTAAAAGTCCGACTCAGTTAGTTCCCCTTTTTTCTGTGTCCGTCTGATATTAAATAAATGAAGTCAGCACATCTCAATGTCAAAGGAAACAACCTGTATTTCTGTTAGCTTTATTTATGTGTGACACAAAATGGCAGATGGTAATAAGATGGAGTTAGTGGTTGATTACAATTAAATGTCAGATATAATGAAATAGGGGGGCAGACTATAGATAGTAGTCAGGGACCATCCTTCTTTTAATCTAATTTAATTTTCCTGAAGTGGACAGTAATGTAATGATGTGGCCGGAGAGCGTTTTAACTCTGCACATCACACACATGAAACATCCAGTGACACTGACCATATGGAGCCTATTAAAGCTTAAAATGAAAAACTAAAGCATAACTAAAAACTAAATATAGTACTACATGTTTACATATGCTATAGTATGATTTCACTTCACGTTGTATTTATTTGACTCGGGAACTGGAGCTACGCACAGAAAGGTAAAAACATTTCATAAAATAAAATATGCTATTTGAACCAAGTAAGTAGATCTCACTGTCACATAGATATTTGTTACACTTGCTTGACTTTCCATCACATAAAACTGCAAGTTGCACCATCATGTTTCTGTCCAAACATTGCCATTAATTTATAATGAATTTGATTGTCAAAGAAATGGGCAGAGCAAATATCGATTTCCAATAGTACCAAAAATTATTTAAAATTCAAGAGATGAAAATCCACGTAAGGGAGGTATAAAGTCAAATGGGTGAGAAAAGTAATAGCCAAAATAACTACTTGACACCATCTATTGGACATTTTATTCAACTTATTCTACCTTCTTTTTATTTTATTTTAATTTTTCTAATTAAAACACCTCTTGTAATAATTTTAACAAATCACTTTTAATGGATTTATTACACTCATTCTGGATTTAAAATAATTCCCTTATTGGATTATAACCCCCTGGTGTTTTAAGCTCTACCTGCAGTCATGTACTGTATACATTTTGCTACTTTTTATTCCCGCTTTTGCACTAATTCACACCTGAAAGATAGTAACTGCTCTCTATGGTTCCTCACTTCCTGTCTACTTGAGCTATGACCATTTTGGGAACTCTTGATGTCGTGGATCTAAGTTATAAATCAAGGCTTGTTTTATTTCTGCCTAAATCATAATGAATATGTTTATCTTGTCTATGAGTAATATATTATTAAAGTGACATATTTATGATGTTTGACACATTAAATATGCTTCTCAGTCCTGCTTCACATTAAACAGTGACTTGGTATTTGTTAAATTCATAGCGGTGCAGTACAGCCTGTCTCAGTGGACTGTGCCCACACCACCTGTCATTAGCAAACAGAGGCTGGCGTGGGTTGTTTTCCAGTCAATAGACTGACACACTGGTGCCTTTCTAAGCTTCTGAGTAAGTCGATTAGTCTAGACTTTGAAGTCTTTGAGGAGTACAGAAGTGCACACCTGCGAGCAGAGGTGCACTTCTCACTCTCGGACTTACACAAAGATGCTGAACAGCACTCGAGGTCGTGGTGAGGCCAGATAAAGTGAAACTGAGGATCTTATATCTATCTGCCATAATACAATACTACAATAGCTACTATACGCATTATGTGATAAGGGGATTATCCGGTGCATTAATTAGGAAAAATCTGACTGAAGGATATGCTGAGAATTAACTTGTGTCCTACAGAAGATTTCCACAATACCTACTGAACTGACTGAGCATGGCTTTGACATCATCAGTGTCAGGGGAGTGAATCCCCCTGTGGCCTTTATTGATGAAAATGTATGCACCCATCACACTCTAGTGCTTTATGGATGACAGTATCCTCGTTATGCTAACCTGCAGTACAGACAGTGTAAACCTCCCTTTGGCAAGTGTTGGGTAAACATAGAGTACTGCATGCTTAAATATGCTGTAGTGTGTGTTTATGTAACATGAAATCAATTGTTAAAGTCAATATTTCTAAAACAAATACCCACATTTATATGGCTTTAGTTATTTTATGAAATCACATTTACAACAAAGCCTTATATAATCCTTGGAGATTTAAAACAGCTCTTTTTGTGGTTGCCAGTTAGTTACTTCTGGGTAACTGGACGCAGAAACCCTTTAGGGCATTAAAGGAACCTACATTCATCCAGCGCTCACATGCCAACAAATTCTCCCATGCAGTATCTGCCGGTGAGTGGAGTCTACACAAGTCAGGGTTTGAAACAGAATATGCTTTAAGGGATTAGTATAGTCAAGGAAAAATATCATGTTATGTGTTATAAGCAAGTCTGTGGCATTTGGGAAACATTTCTTCTTGGGGGGAATTTAGCGAGAGAGGTTTGTTTATCAAATGGTATCACTTTCGTTTAATAAATACTTAAATAAAACTGTGCAATTTGGTACTAATGAACTGGAAATAGAGACTATCCTGTGAGACTTCAGATAGTTAAATTGAGTTTACACAGATAAATTAATAAGCAGGTTTTTTTAACAGTGGATTTCCCTTTGCCACTTGGGGGAAGCAGTAAAAAGTTAAAAACACAACGTTGATATATCAATATATTTCTGGTTATACTAATCTGGCCAATAACATTCTGGTGCACTGTGTTCACCAGTGTTAATTCTCTGCAGCGATTAAAGCCACTTAATTTACAGAAAATATACGTAAACAGCAAACTCAATATGCAAGAAAAGTCCACACAGAATGACCTCAGTTTTCTGGCAATAATAGTTAATAACAACAAGTAGAATTTAAGCCACAATCAATATCACTTTTGGATCACAGTAAAACCTGCATTTATTTAGATGTTGTACTTGGAGTGTGAGTAATGACATACAAGTTGTTTCTAGGAGGAAGTAGTTTAGATTGTATAATGGTGCCACCCTGAATATATGGATGGATTGATAATTCAGTTTTAACACACAGGAAACGTCACCATCGAGTCTTTGCTGCACGCTGGCACGCTTCCTGTTCGTAGCCTCTTAAATCAGTCAACACTCAACTAATAACACCACTAATGGAATCATCAGAGCAGCAGCAAACCTACCAGCAGTGCACTCTGTCACCTCCCATTGACTAGGACGCCATTCAGAAATCTCTGCTGATAAATCAGACTCCACGCATCGTCATTATCAGGCATGTAAGACACAGCAGTCATTAGTGGATGGAGAAACTGCAATGGACACACACTCTCACGATTACAGAAACACACCAAGCCTACTCTCTATCTTTCACACACACATTACAGGAGAATGGGAGAGTGGGAACCAGTAGTAGTGTGTCAGTGGGGAAGCGTTGAGACAGCAGTGGGTCAGTGTTTGTGCTGCAGTCTGAAGCCCGCTGCACACCATGCACACTCCACTGCAGCACTTTGATTTCACATTGGCATCCCCCCCTCTGCATCTCCAGCATAATGGCTCGGAGCAGCCTGCCCCATCATTACCCTTCTCACATGAGAAACCACTGCTGACATCTTCTATTGCACACCGCACACTCGCACACACCGACTCACACAAGCACGTCCACACCGAGCATCCATGGGGGCTAATAACACACCAAAGTCCTTTTTTTGCAGCGAGTAAATAGGACAGACAGGGCTGCCC